TATAAAAGATATGGTTGAGATGGATTATAGAACCATATATATATATAGATGATAGTCCTAATAATATTTTATAATTAATATAAATATCAAGAGTTTATTTATTAGGACTAATAATTTCTATCACTCAAGATTTTTTGGGATATTAAGAAATTTTGTTTCAGTGGGAGATTGGTTAATCTTCCAATAAGGATTCTAAAATGTTACATTATTTATGGGTAATTGTTCCAGTGGGAGCTTGTGAGTTGATGTGGATGGTACTACCAAAATAGACCATTTATTGAGATTCACATGTTTTTCAATAAGAATTCTGGAACGTTTTATTATTTATAGGAAAGTGTTTCAATGGGAATATGTGAATTGAAGTGGGTGATACTACCAAAGTAGGCCATCTATTAAATTCATATATTTTTCAATGAGGATCCTAGAATGTTTCCTTCTTGAAATTAATGTGTATGATCACCTGCCCAAAGAGGGTGATTGTGCATATTGACTAAAAGAAGTGTGAATAATTAGTAAGGGTTTTTTATTCTAGTTTTATAGAGAATTTTCTACCCAAAGGGGATTATTTTCTATGAGATCATTCTTATTAATTCACTTGTAATAAAGTTTTTTAAAGTTTAATAAAGTTTCATACCAATTGGTTATATTAAATTATTATGTCATTAAAACTAGTTGATCTATTGGGAAGATCACATATGAACTATTAAAATTAAGATATAAAGCTACTACTTTCATATTAGTACATGAAAAATTCTGCCCAAAGGTGATTGTTGTATGTATTGACTTGAAGTAGTAGGAGCAATTAGTAAGGATAATAAGTATTGATTTATATTTACTAAAAGTTAATTTTCCTACTAATTGACTTGTTAAGGTTTGATTTTATAGACTTATTTAATCAACATAAAGTATAAATAAAGTATAGTTGTGTCCTGAACTCTTGTGAGTCAAAGTGAATCATGCTATGGATTAAAGTATATTATGAGGCACTTTTATGGAAACAAAGTTTTATTATTAAAATTATATTACCAATGTTCGATTAGTGTTAATTTATATGAGAATTATTCTAGATATTCTTGATTAGTAGGAGAAGTTGATTTCTCTATTAATAATAAGTTTTATTTTATGCATTGTCTCACTTATTACTTTATAATAATGCACATGCATTTACTAATGATTTTTATGAGCTCATATAGATATTGATCTTGAGATCTTGAGGGATAAAGTATAAAGGTTTCTTTGGAAGTGTGCAAACTTCTTTTGAAGTGTAAAGATTTTTCTAGAAAAGTAAGGGAAATTATCTCTTGGATTTGTATGAAACCATAATAAAGTTTAAACGCTTCCTTGAGGAAGTGCAAAAGGGATTACATCATGATAAAAGGGTTTATTTGAAACCATAAAGAGGATCGTTGTGGTTTTGACATGTTATATATTATATGGATCATGTTGTGTCAAACCACACTACACTTTATCATACTTATTGGAATTAATGTTGGTAGAAATATTTGATAATTGTGATTGTGAGGAGTCTTATGTTATTAGAGATATAACGACCGCACAGTTCGATATTGGTATTTTTATTAAACAAAATTATGTACTAAGATTTTGATTTATATTTGTAGCCACTAAAGTTGTGTTTGACCCAAAAGTCATTTTTAAAAAATATATTTTTTTAAAATTTTAAAACCAATTAGCGTTACCCAAGTAGGAGAATGTTGAAAATTTTTATGTGAATTGTTGCTAATTGTATTTGGTTTTCAAAAATTGGGTCAAATGAAAAAAACTAATAAAACCAAATAAAATAATGTGATCCAAGTAGGTCTAGATTTTATCTCAATTTTATATGGTGTGATATGAATAGGTGTAGAGTCTGAGAGTAAAAGTGGGCTACTTGATTGAAGTGCTCAAAAGATTATTATAATAGGCTAGGTCTCCTCTCCCATTCAGAAAATCCTACATCTATAAATAGTAGAGTCAAGGAGTAGCATGACCCATTAATTATCACTATACAAAAGTTGATTAGGGAAAAGAAAAACTAAATTCCAATACTAATTATATTTGTTTTGTAGGTTTTGTTATGAAATTCTTAATTCTGATGAATCTTAAAGATTTTTAAAAATTTATAAGTAATGTATTAATTATAAAGATTCAAGTACATAATATATTTATTTTATTAAATTTTGGTATTCTAAATTTTACTTACGTCGGTACTTAAAATTCCAACAAAAAGATCCGCTGAGAGTGCGAATTGAGGTAGCAATAATGTCACGGAACTCTGGTCCAACTCCAGGACACTGAGACCTCCATTAAGGTTAGGCTTATCGATGACTGCAATATTGGAGGCCAAGGTTTTGACATCAAGGAGATAGTCATGGACAATACGCCTATTGCACCGCATGTTTTGCAAGTGTTCCTTGAGAGCAATAAGACCTGTCTGTGACTTACTGACACAGAAATTAGCCAAAATTTTCCAAAGTTCCAAAAAGCATGCAGTTTGTGGAACTGAGCCTGAGAAGGTGTAAATAAATCTGTCCATGTCCATGAAGGTTATTTGTCCATCTCCCCTCCATTTTTAGTTGGTTATTTGCCATTAATGATTGCGTTGATTAGGTCAGCGTTTATTACTAGAACTTAATCTCAACCATGGTGGGTGATACTTCTGAAAAGATTAAGAAAGCCCCTGTCACGTATCCCTTCGTATTTCACAAGCAACAAAAGTGGAACTGAGGAAAAAAAAAAAGAACCCAAAGAATGGTTAACAAGTTATGAGGATGAAAATAAAAGGCAGAGGAGTAAGAAGCAGAGATCTTATCTATTGTCTGACGAAGAGGAATTAAAGGAAGGGTGAGAAAACGGATAGAGAAGAAAGAAAAGGAGAGAGTAAAAAGCAAAGGGGCAAAAAGGAAGAGAAAGGAGACGTTACCTACTATAGTTGGTAACCGGTTTAAATGATTAACATTTTGCTTCGTGGCAAAAGAAATAGGAGAGAGTGGGGAAGGGAGTGCTGAAGGACGACCGTCCTTAGAACATCTCTATGTGATAAAGTACAACAGGAAAGATTCGTCGAACAGAACTAGTACAGAATCAAAGTAGTCCAGTAATTGTACAACAAGAGAACCATTCAATGAACGATTTCTGGGTTTGGATAAAAGAATTTTAATTTTTTTAAAAAAATTTACATTTTTAAATATTTTTTTTACATTAAAAAGCTCTTAAACAGTAAAAATTTAAAAATTTTAAATTCAAACTTTTCATAAACTCTTTTTTTACTTATTTTTCATTTACTTTTTCATTTTTTAAAAAAACTAAAACTCTATTTTTTTTCTAATCAAAATTTAAATTTATCACTTATAATAATACTTAAAAAACAAAAACTCTCAGAAGGCACAACAAACAAACTCTTAAATGAGAAATCAATTCTTTCTTCTTTCTCTTTCTTCTTTCCCCTTTTCTCTCCCTTCTCTCTTGCATCTGCCTTCCCTCTCCAGCGCGGTGGTTTTTTTGGTCGGAAGCCTTTGAGCTTCCGACGTTTTGATGCTTGAGCCGCTGGGGGCTCCCTGGCCACTCAAGCATGCTGGAGCCGGCCTGTGCTCCATCCTCCGATGACCCTTCGAGGTCTGTCGGTTTATGAGTCCCTTTCCAGTGACCCCTTTTGTTCTTTTTGTTTGCTGGTTGTTTGTATAGTTTTAGTTTCTTGTACAGTTTGTTTTTTCAGATCCGGCGACCCTTGGCTCTTTCCTGTTGATCTTGGTAGGGGTTCATTGGGTTTTTCTTTTTTTGTTCTGTTTGGTGCAGATCCGGCGGCTTTCTTTTCTCCTCTGGCGGATCTGAGGCGGCGCGTGCGAGGGCTACCAGATCTGACGCCCACCGCGGCTCTTTGCTGGTTCCAAGGGTCTTCCGCCGCCGGATCAGGTGACCGCACGGCATCCTGGAGCCTGGTGCTATTTCTTCAAGGGTAGATTGAAGGGTGTCCCAGATGGATCGGTCGACCGAAGGCCGTGGTATTTCCGGAGCGTTCGTGGTTGTTCGAGTGCTGAGTGTACCCCCTTCGGCCTCTGGATATGGGTCTACTCTGTTCTTTTGTTCCGGTTGTTTTTACTATTTGTTATCTTTGTAGATGCCGTATGGCGATCTTTGTAATGAATCCATTCCATTATCCTAAAAAAAAAACAAACTCTTAAATGAGACAATAATCTTACTTCGCCTTAATTTTAGTTAAAAATTTTTTTAAAAAAAATGTCGTGGCGTATATTTCCCAACTCCAGATGTCGTCTGGTCGGAGTGTTTTTCCATTGAAGCATGGCCCGGCCCCCCTTCCAATGTGATTAGGCTGCATATCTTAAAGCCCTCCACCTTCAAGTTATTTATCATTTTATTATTTCAACAAAATTTATTTATTTATTTACTTATTTTATTTTATTTTTTTTTTTTACCAGATAGATGGTTAGGAAATTAGTAGAATTAGTTTGTTAACAGCTGAAATTTTTCCAGAAAAATGAACATTCTACCCCCTCATTTGAGGTGTGTGACCATTTAGTACATGTTTGAAAATGGTTTTTGAAAATTTTTTTTATTTATGGATAATAAATTTAAATTTTTATTAAAAAAATTAAAAATTATTTAAAAAATAAAAAATTAATGAAAAGTGAATAAAAAATTTATAAAAATAAAAATTTTAAAATTTTTAAAATTAAAAAAATAAAAATATATATAATTTTTTTAAAAAAAATTGAATTTATAAAATATATATAATTTAAAAAATTAAAAATCATACAAGTGTCTCCAAACATACTTTTAGATAAAGATAACCGAAGGAATCCATTATTGAATAAAGAAATATATCGATCTTTTCATTGATTGGCTGGCCAATAAAGAGCTTCTTTGAATTTTTTTAACCTTTGAAATGACATCTTAGCACGTCCACCATGCCTGCCTAGCTTAAGCATTATTATTTTTTCTTTTTTATAGTAAAAACTCTCTGAAAATGGTAAAAATTCCTCTATCAAACTCGGAAAATTCTCTATCAAACTTGGTAAAAATTCTCTACCTAATTTTGGGAAGGTTCTATGAGTAAAAAATTCTGCTAAAAAAATGCATTGCAAACAGTTTGTTCTTTTCTTTTCCATTTTTCTCTCAACATGCTACAATTTTTAAAAGCAAAATGTTTGAATCAGACCTTTAACTCTGATAAAATGCACCTAACCAAGTAGAGTGAGGGTCCTGGGGATTTCTTCTCACTTAAATGAAAAAGATAGTTACCTACATATTTCCTTTTTATAAGCCATTGTTAAATGTCAAGGCATAAAAATTTGCATGGTTTTTCAAACTGACCAAGGTGGCAAACTTGCAAGTGAAGGGCGAGGGCCCTCATTTTCTGACATTTCAACAATGTCAGTACGCATGGGAGCTTCAAAGTTTGAAACTTATTTTACACCCTAAGATCATGAACAAAAGGACATTAAGAGGATCAGTGCTTTCCAACTCTAAAACAAAAATTAATTAAATAAAAAATATTTTAACTTAATAATTTAAATTATGTATTTTAGTACTGTTTAAATTATATAATACTTTATTATTTTTTTAAAATAATATTATTTTAGTGTATAACACTATCTAAGTGGAAACACCCGACTTGAGCATGAGCTTGAGCACCAGTCAACCCTCTTCCTCTCCTCAATTCCGCTCACCTTAATTATAATTATCCAATCTTAGAAAAAAAAAAATACATCCAATATATATAATTTATTGTGTAACCCATCATTAAAAACTATTACTAAATTTCATTCTTCATATAGAGGCCAAGTGGTTTATCACTTGGTTGTTAATTTGTGAAAACATCATTTTAATTTGAAATTTTGAGTTTTTGGTGATCCTCCTTCTTCATTCTCTCTTAATATGTTAGGTTTAATTGTAATATGTTAAAGAAATAAATAAATAAAAGAACCAATTCCAGGGTCCCCCAACGTATGAAAGAGACAGAAAAGTAAATACTTAACAAAAAATATATATATATATGGTTGCAAAGGAACAAATCCCTCTATTATCTCTCCATGGTGCTTTCTCATTTTCTGTTCCATTTTTATATCCTCTTGTACTCTTTCTGCAAAACTCAGCTGTAAATCTAGTGTCACTTGGCTTATGCGGAGAATTCTTCTCACACACCATAAATATGCTACTTCTTCTTACACATCCAACAAGAAACTCCCCTTGAGTTCGTAGACCCCTCCACCCATTATCTCAGTTCATCCCTAGCTCTCTTTCTGCCCAGACATATATTCAATAATAATGTCAAGAATGGCTGCAGACACTCTCATTGTTGGAAGGGTGGTTGGGGATGTTGTTGATCCTTTCATTCCAACCATAAAGATGTCTGTCACCTACAACAACAAAAGAGTCTGCAATGGACATGAGTTCTATCCTTCCATAGTTGTAACCAGACCAAGAGTAGAGGTTCAAGGAGGTGATTTGAGGGATTTCTTTACTCTGGTATGTGCCTAAATCTTTACTCTGGGGTTTCTCTTTGTTGATCACCTATATTTTTAATCTTCTGTTCTATTGCAGGTGATGACAGACCCAGATGTTCCTGGACCTAGTGATCCTTACCTAAGAGAGCACCTGCACTGGTATAAACCTAAAGCTGATAAACCCTAGCTAGTTAAGTGCATGCCGTCGCTGCAATATTTAGTCTACCAACTCTATCTAGAGGAGTTTATGTTAGGAAGACAGGGCAAGATCCCAAAGATTACTATGGTAGTCATGAGATGAAAGAAGACAAATATTCTAATCATAAATAATCACCCTTCTCTCTTTGACATTTAGACAAACAGTTAGTATTCACATACCCAAAAAAATTTTTCCACAACACAGTATTGAGATTATCACAGGGGACAGAGACACCTAAGACAACATCCTCTCCAAAATCCATATATATATATATATAATACTCACCCTATGCATCATATAATTGGTCACACCATGCATCATATAATTGATCTTATGCCAAGGGATATATCCATATCACTTACCCATTTTGTCATGCACTTCGGAAGACATACATTTTTCTTCATAAACAAACCTACAGAAATGGAAATAATGTAAACAGAAAGTCAGTAATTGCCAATTTCTAACATATAGTAAGTTTGATCTGACCATTTTACAGGATAGTAGCAGACATTCCAGGCACAACAGATGCAACATTTGGTATGTGCTCCCTGCAACCGTCGCCTTGTAGACCAAGTCTTGCCTCAGAATACTGATTTTTGGGTTTTCTGTATCCACAGGAAGGGAAGTGGTGAGCTATGAGATGCCAAGGCCTAATATTGGAATCCACAGGTTTGTATTTGTTCTGTTCAAGCAGAAACGTCGACAGAACATTAACCCACCACCGTCCAGGGATCACTTCAGTACCCGGGAGTTCGCCGCCGAGAACGATCTCGGCCTTCCTGTTGCCGTAGCCTACTTCAATGCACAGAGAGAAACAGCTGCAAGAAGACGCTAACCCTTTTCATGTTAGTTTTTAAATTAATAATTTACCGAGTTCCTTCGTCTCTGTAATGCTGTGTTTGTTTGCTATCTTGTAAGACAAACCTTGTCCATACTTTGTCGGTTCAACTTGTGATTACAGAAGGCGATCATATTTTCAAGAGGAAAATCATTAGCTTCTCAACTTGTTCTTTGTTTTCTTCAAGCTCAGTGTTTTTGGCCTAAAATGTTTTCTTTCCAACAATTTTTTTTTCAAGTACTTGATACCATAAGAATTTAAACCTCTAGATATTAATTTAGCAAATCTTTTGTTGGCGTTTCATTGACAAAATTTGTTATAAATAAATTCGTGTGATATCAAATTGTGCAAGGCATAATAATACACACATTCTACTCAAGTTAAAACAGACAAAAAAAAAAAAAAAACCAAAAAATATTAAAATTTATAATTTTATAGTTTTAATTGCATAAAATGCAAAACCAAAACAATAAGATGAGAGAGGACCAGGGCCGTCCCTATATCAAGGAGTATAGGAGCTAAAGCTCAGGCTCAGTATTAGATATGAAGCTCCACGGGCCACTGCTAACCTGGCTTGTGCTAATAAGATACTGCCTGAACAAATCTGACTAACTGTACGTACACATTCTAAGCCATAAGGATATACCAAAAAAAAAAAAAAAAAAAAAAAAACCTACAAATTGTGCTTATAAGTACCCTTTAAAAAAGACTGACAAATTGTGTTGATAAGTACCCTTTAAACTGGTGAATTATTCTAACAAAATTTGTGAACTTTCTGTTTTTTGAGTTGTGAACATTCTTGTCTCAAAATCGACTCCTTAAACCTGAAACTCAATTATTATGCAATAAATCAAAATTTTATCAACATCAAGAGATAAACACATTGGTACATAAGTGAAATGCCCTGATGGTCCAAAAAAAAAAAAAAAAAACTCTAACCATAATTTTAATCATCATCAAAATCAATGAAAAACCGAACAAGCAATAGATATTCATTTTACCAAAAGAAAAAAGGAAAAAGCAGTAGATGTTCAACACGCTGTCGGCCGGGAAAGAAATACTCAGTTACTCAACTGATGCTTAACGTGCTATTGGACAGCAAGAACCAAGAAGTATTGAGTTACATATTGACACTTGACCCACGACAACCTCATCCACTGTTTCGGGTCCAGATATCTTATTAGCTGGTTCGGACTTCGCAACAAGTACCAGTTGTAATTGGTACCCAGTACGTTATCAGATATTATAGTACAAAAAATAAATCAGACCACAAAGTTCTAGAGGATTGATGTTTACTTCTCCTGTCCCAAAATATAGTAAATGCTTTTTTTAAAAATAATAATAATAATGTTATTATTGCTTAATTTTAATCATTCACCTTGCTATCAAAAATTTTTGTTTGTCTTTAATTTTTTTTTTTTTTTGAACTGTAATATAAATAGAACATAAATTATCCCTAAATTTTTGTTTTCTAAGCAAAAGTCAAAAAAATAAAAAAACATGAAATAGTTGGTCTTTTAAATTAAAATATTGTTGTATAACATTCACATTACTACTCGAATTAGCAACTACTTGTTTCAGCTCCTGATCTTTTAAAAGTTGAAAATATCTTTTTGAAAAATCACATTTAACCCAGGTCTCTTTGTTTTACTAGAAACAACATTTCCAGAAGTTAAGGCAAATAAGGTAATAAAGAACCATGGGCTGAAATCTAACACCATAAAATGAACAACCCAATTAATTTTCTAACATTCCATTTCATATATATAATTCATAGTTTCCCTTCCCTATTACATGAAAGAATATCAATCTTTCCTACCAATGGATTAATTGATCATGCTCTCATTTCCTTGTGTTGAACAAGAAATTTTGTGGGCAACGACGGCAATAACTCGACGACGGCAGCAGCCACCAGTCCCTCGGCAATTGTTCCCTCCATTGACAGAAAGTTACATGCTTTAGACATTGGAATGGCGCTGGAGACATCGGCAATTGGAAGCAGGCAATTGGCGAAGAGTGCACTACCTGTTGCAGTGACATGGGTTTCACAGTAATGGGGAGGAGGAGGGATGCTGTTCACTGCCTCCAGATTGATCTCAAACAGCTCCTCCTCCTCCTCTTCTTGTTCTTCCTCCTTGTTTTGCAAAGAATGTTTCAGAAGAGCTGCCATCTGTCTGGTTTATGACCTGTGGAATTTTCAGAGATGCGTTTTATAAGAGGGGATGGAAGGAATTAGGAATTGGGCACCATGGGTGGTGGAGTTGAGGGGAGGTGGTAAGTAGAACGCTCCTCAACAAATCTACAACAATCACATAGGACATATAAATGGATGGATTTCTAGGTTGGTTTTCAATTTTTCAAACAGCATAGAATCTAGTATTTATTGATTTTTTTAAACCGCTCCAAATGAAATCTTAATTTATTGCTGACATAAACTCTTCCACTCTTGCCAAAATCTTTTTTTTTTTTGAAAAGCAAATGACTCTTGCCAAAATCTATTTTAATTTTTTTTTAAATCAGAAATATTTTTTTTCAGTCCAAACAGGCAACCAAAGAATGTCAAATGAATCTTGAATTTTTTTTTAAAAAAATTAAGGAAAGGTAACGATAGTTAGAACAAACAAGAGAAAACAGAACCATTTACTAAAAATAACCGCTTAAGTCCACAAGCCTACGAAGTTAACAATTTGTTGTGGTGGTAGGTTTAACTACAAAAATGTCTGTTGGTGACTTCCATTGAAAAGAAGGTCCTAGATCAAGACAAACCATGTTCAAAACAGAAAACTAAACCCTCAAAAGATAGAAAAGAGAAATTGTTAATAGAAAGCAAACCACGCCACCAATCACCTAAACTACATTGCAAGGTTAGCAAGAAGTAGACCTAACCACCTAACAGAACAGAAGATGCTGCACGGTTTCTTTAATTAACTACAAGAAGACTGCATTAAAAAACCCTAGAGCCAAAACAACCATTCCAGATGAGTACTTTTAACATCCTGCATAAACTGGTATGTACCATTTTTAAGCCTTTTGTAAACAATAAGCACATCCCAATAATATCTGGGTTTAATGGTTGCTGTAACTCAAGAAGTTATTTATCCATTCATCTTACTAGTAAGACATTGGTCCAATGAAGCTCCATTGTCATGAACCTGCTCCAATCAAAACAATAAGAACAAACTGGCCATTTCCCTGACTAAACTCTATTAGCCAAACAAAATCAATGCTGCTAATGAGAATTTAGTGCCTGACACATGTCTACAGTTGCAACAAGACAATCTGTGTTTCTCAAGGATGTCAAACATGGGCTAATTCCATGTTTCACTACTAGCTATGCAGAATATGATTCTAAAAACACCAACATAATCCATAGCAGATATGGAAAATGGGTTTTTACCCAAGGCCAATTTTAACTCTCAAATGGAGAGAAGATTAGAGGGTTCAGGTTGGTAACAAAACAGGGAAACAACACAAGTGATTGCTATTTGCTCCAAGTCCCCTGGCAAAACCTGACTTCCTATAAGTTGTTACCATACCATCAGCCACAAGGAAATCAAACAAAAAGGTTAAGCCCATTTTTTCCCATTCAAAGAGTTAAGCCCCTTTTTTTTCCGTTCATAGGTGTTCAGATCCCCACCCCCACCCACCGAAAAAATGAAAAGAAAGCAACACATCAGATTCAATGAAAACTTGATGAAGTTGTCAATCATGCCCAAATGACAACATCAGATTTATGAACAGAAGGGAGATTTGGACAAAGATAATTCAAGTATTCCTGGAGTATTCATTTTTAACAACTCATACCACTTAACCCAGCTTCCTCAGTTCACACAAATGACTTTACCAATTATCATTCACAGGTCTTATTTAAGGTCGAAAAACACTCTTTCAAGGCTTTGAGCACCAAAATTCTTATCTGAAACTAGGCAGGTCATGAACTACAGAAGACCAATGATAAATTCAAACGAAGTTTTTGACAGACTTCAGTCTTCCCACTGAAGTTAGATATCATTCTATTTTGTGAGCTAAATATACAAAAACACTAATTAAAATCAATTTAATTATAACAAATTAACATGCATGACCGTGCCAAAAAGCCTTCTGAAGCAATCCCAAACTTAAGTCAAATAATGTGATTATGTCAATTCTAGTTGAATTGAGAACACTTGGTTGAAGCCACAGAAAACAGCAGCAACAAAGTAACACCAAAGTAACCCAGTTATTGTAAGACAATCATGTCGGATCTATATCCATATAAAAATTCAATATGGATCCATTTACAGTCATAAGAACTTCTACACCACTCAACACAATGAACTCTACTAACAGCATCAGATTCATCATGCAACGCTCTAACAACTACAGAAAAATGGGGTACACAAAAGGCAGCTACAATTAAAATATAACGAGAAGAGAAAACAGAGTGTAAATCAAGAAACAGGCGTACGAAATGAGACCACGGTGCTCCTCGCCTCCGTCAGCCAGCGCCACCATCAGATTAGTACAAGCCCTGGTGGCCCACAACACGAACACCCCAGCCAGAACATATCTAGCGACGCCGGCCCCTTGCGGCAGGAACAGCGATAGAGAAGATAAGACCACCAACGGCAGCATACAGTATCCAACCACACTCGTACAAGTATGCAGATCTAGATTCCCATTTCTCCCGGCTAACATGTTAAAAACCACATACAAAAAGATAGATGAAACCACAATCCATCCCAAAATCACGCCAAATTGGATCTTTCCAGCGAGTAATTGAAACAAGCAGAATGATAAATAGAGGAATATCGGGCCGGAGAGATCGGAGTCTTGGTGGACGGTAGCGTTGATCCGGAAGGGATTGATGATGGACTTGGCTTTCTGCCAGATTTGATCGGGGTGAATGCCGAGCTCGTCAAGTAGGGGTTCTTCCTCTTCGAATGATGTCGGCCCGCCCGTAGATACCGACGTGGAGATGGAACCACCGAATGATGCGGAGGACGAAGCGGCAGAGCCGATATCGAATGACATGAAGGGGATGGCCGACGACGCAGAGGGGCGCGGGAGTTGGAACGGCGCCGTCGGTATGCGGCGCTGATTGACATTTTCCCCGGCGGGGTTGCCCCCAGAGGTGAAAACCACGGGAGGCACTGCGAATTCCTTCGTCATTTGGCTCGATTGGTGATTCTTCTCTCTTGACGGTGTTGCACGTTAGGGTTTCTGACTGCTGAGAGTGAATTGCTCTTCTTTTTCTTTAATTGGGAGTTTCAACTTCTAGGAACTTGCTTCAGCTGTTTTAGGGATGAGTTTTGCGGCCGAGCAAAGAGAGGGTAATTTTGACCGCGCTTGGTTGGGAACAACTTTCTTCCTAAACTTTTTAAAATTTTTTTTCTTTATTTATTTAGGTATTTTTATATTTTAATATTAGATTAAAACCTCTTTTTGGTCCCTAAATTATTGTACTGGATCCTTAATTTAGTCATTGAACTAAAAAAATATTTGATTTGGTCCTTACTATTTACCACTTTTACCCTAACTTGGTCCTTCCGTTAAAAATGCAATGACGTATCTAGTTAACTAATCGAAGTATGATGACATGTCCAAATATTATAACACATCAGCTATACACATGGACAAAAAGATACATGTCATAAAAAACACATCAGATCCCCGACCAACAAAAAAAAAAAAAACATGGGCCTCACCTCCTACCTAAACTCACTATCTTCTCCCATTTTCTTCCCATTCGAACCCTAGAAGAGCAGAGGGCAACAGCAGCAAGCGCGAGGTCTATTGGAACCCTAGCACACGTTGGGTTTGTTGGAACCTAGTTGCGGGTTCCTTGGAACCCAACCGTTGGGTTCGTTTGAACCCTGGCGGTTGGCGCTGGGTTCCATCAAACTCAGCATGCGTGGGTTCCTTCGAACCCATGGGCAAAAAAATTTCTATTTTTTTTAAAAAAAATTTGTGGGTTTGGTTGTTTGATGAAAATGAAGAATTGATTGATGAAGGAGGGAGGAAGGAAAAAGAAAAGACGCCTGGGTTAGATTCAACTCAGGCGTTGGGTTCCTTTGAATTGATTATTTAATTGTTTCATTGAATTGATTGTTTCATTGCTTCTTGAATTGATTGTTTGAATGAAGAAGATTCAAGAAAGAGGAGTTGGGGAAGAAGATGATGGCAAAATGGTAATTTTGGTGGGCCTCACTTTTTTTTTTTTGGTGTTGGGTAAGAATAGACCTACCATGTTGCCATGTCATCATTTATTCATTTGTAAAGCTGATGTGTCTTAAATTTTTGACATGTCATTAAATTTCTGTTAGTTAATGATAGTGGTTTAAGGGAAGGACCAAGTTGAGATAAAATTGGTAAATAGTAAGGATCAAATCAAGGATTTTTTTAGTTTAAGGATTAAATCGAGGGTCCATACAATAGTTCAAGGACTAAAATGAGGTTTTAACCTTAATATTATAATAAATAATAAAAATAATATTTCAAAATTTTATTTATTTATTTATTTTTTATTTTGATTGGACAATTGGAAGCAATCATTTCTCATTTTTTGTCTCACCTTACTCGCATGCTATGCGACTCGAATTCAAAATCTTTTACTTCTAACGAAAAAAGATAACTACTGAATTATTTAGATCGTTGACCG